GGGGGGGGGGGGGGGGGGGGGGGGGGGGAATTCCTGGCCTAGTGCTGTCTGATGGTCAGCTCAAAATGTCTCCTTTTTGTTCCTGGAAATGAACATTGCAGAAGGTCCAACACGATGAAAGAGAGTTTTTGTAGAAGACCTGTGCTCTTTCCTCCAAAGGGACAGAGCAAGAGAGCCTCCAGCCTCCATAAAAGTTGAGCTCCTCTTCCCTCCTCTACTAGGAGTGCTCACTTGACAGTTTCTGAGCCCCCGCAAATCGCAAATCAGTTTTCCCCACCATTAGGAGGTACAAAATATATGAAAACTGTAGCAGAAGCCTTGAATTAGGCTTGAGAGTGTTTTTCCAAGTCCCAGCCCCAGCCTGCCCATCCCCCTCCACAAGCTCCTGCAGGCATTAAGTGTACCCACCCCCCAAAATAAAATGACCATCTCAAACACTAGGAATATTTAATGTGGCTTTTATAACGTGGTTTATTTACACTGGCATTGACAACAGAGTGGCTTTTGTCAAAAACTTCTTACAAGTCACGAATAACCTGTAGATACAGTAGTTTGAGCTGAACAAATAAAATTACTTTGAAATCTAGGACTCTTGAAGTCAAGTCAACCCTCCCCTTCCCTTTTCTTTCCCTTCCCCTCCTTTGGGGTGGGGTTGTACTCATTTCTCTCTCCTGATCATGTTTTCATTATGGCAGAGACAGTGCTAAGATGTCCATCCATAGCAGTTTGCAAACAAGCCTTTCCCATAAAAACAATTTAATAAAAAAAATGCAAACGAAACTGTGGTTCTGAGAGGCCCCCAAATCCCAAAGAGAGACAATAACAATACAAAAAGGAATCGATGTATGAAGGGCATTACCAAAAAAAAAAATAATAATACATAGAACACAAATCTCTACTTACAAAACTTTACATCGCACTGACAACATGTGAAGGACCTAGGTAGGCAGACCTTGTGGAGAACTGACGGGCACACTGTTTGGCAGCAGGCAATGGGAATGGCAGGGTGAGGGCATCACTGCAAGGCTGGCAGCTAGAGAAATGCCAAGGAAGTGGACAGTCAATGCAGAATTTAGGGAAGACATGAGCACGGAGGAGCGGAAGGCAGAAAGTGCAGGCTGAACAGGAAGTTGGACACCACATTTTTCAGAGCCGATATACAGTATTTTCTTTCACAACGCCCCTGATGTTCACAACCAACCTACAACTGAACATTCAATCTTGGAAGGAAGGAAGGAAGGAAGGAAG